CTACTGACTAACTTAGTATAGTTTTTAAACGTTTATATTAATGTTTTAATAAACTAATTAGGTTTCACGTGAATAAAACAAACTAATTAACAAGCGGGAGCTAATTTTAATCATCTAATTCATTTGCTAGTTTGCTACCGTTTATTACAGCTCAGTAATTGTTTCTGTTATATTGTTATCAGACTTCAGTTGTAGTATGTACATCAAAATCCATTTATTCATATTTTCATATTTAACGTTTTACTGATTGATGAATTTTTATTATTCGATCGCAGTAAAAGTTTCACTTTTAGGGATAATATAAATTTCCATTTTTCACTAAACAGTAAATCAAATTTTTAGTCATCTAATTTCCTCCCTGAATCAATTATTTCGCGTTAGTTTATTGAAAACAAAAGCATAAATGAACTAAAGCGTGTGTAAATGTGATGCTGAAGAAGTTCATGCTGATGCTGGTGTGATGATGATACAAGCAAAAGTCATTCTGTAAGCTTTTTTCTGAAATGGGGTCCCAATTTTATCTCACTGCATACTTTCCAATCTTAGCTACTCATTATCTGTCACATAGAGACTCTGCTTCTTCTGCTTTTCTATATAGTTTCTTTATATAAGAGAACATAAGAAAATCTTGTGAATAGTAGTGAGAAATGAGATGGGCAAATACAAGTTCAAAATTTCAGATATGATCTCAAGTGCATGGTTTCACAAGCTCAAAGACATGACTAAGCAGTCCAAACCCAAAACCAAACCTTTTTCTTCTTCTTCCTCTTCCTCAAACACTTGTAACAAGAAGAGCCCCTCCTCTTATTCTCTTCCTCATCATTCCTCAACCTCTCATTTTTCCATCAGCTTAGTAGCTAAAAGTCCTCACCATAACTCACCAAGAAACTCTCTTCACAGAAAAAGGATGAGTGAAAGAAAGACACTTTACAAACCATCTCTTAAACCAATCAGTCCTTTTGCATCTCCAGGTTTTAGCAAGAACAAGATCAACAGTCAAGATTCATCTCACTGCGCGTTTCCACCTCTTGAAAGGTCTCGAGAGTCTTTTGTGTATAGTCTCTACGAAGAGGAGGATGATGAATTCGTTGATCCTTCCAATTTCACCAAGTACAAGGTCAAGGAGTCTGGTTCCATAGAGAAATCTTGTCCTGCAAGTAACCTATCCAAAAAACCGCTTAAAAGCCATCTTTCTGTGAAGATTAACAAAACGAAACAACAAGAAGATGACCCATGCAGAGGAGAGAAGAAATACCAAAAGCAAGTTTCTAGTGGAAGACATTCGTCAGCAGGGATAAATCTCAGAAGAGTAAATTCACCTAGGATTCAACTCTCAGGTACGCGTAGAAGCATGTCGAGATCACAGAGCAGACAAGTTGTTGTTGAGAGTTATGCTGTGATGAAGCGTTCGGTTGATCCAAAGATAGATTTCAGAGAATCAATGGTAGAGATGATAGAAGAGAACAACATCAGAGCTTCAAAAGACTTGGAGGATCTTCTTGCTTGTTATCTTTCATTGAATGCAAAGGAGTATCATAATCTTATCATTCAGGTTTTCGAGCAAATCTGGCGTCAACTTACACAACACAAGTAAAAAAAAAAACCTCTTAATGTAATGTTAGCATTAGTATTAGTATTATTCTGTCTTGTGAAACCCAGTTTTATGTATTTGTTTTCTTTCTTTATCTTTTAATCAGTCGAACCAAATAATTAAAGTAGATATCATATTGTCGTTTCAATTCAAAAATGATCCTAAGGGTGTGGACGCATTGATAAGACTTAAAGCAGAATTAATCACTAGCATATGCTTGTTATATGACATATAAACAAGGTTAATCACAAGAAAATTACTTCAAGATTTGTTAGTGTTATTTCTTAGAACATAGAGATGGGTTGCGCCTAGGGGTGGGCGTTCGGGTATCCATTCGGGTTTGGTTCGGATCTATTCGGGTTTCAGGTTTTCGGGTTCACAAATTTAGCCTCATTCGGATATTTCTAAATTTCGGTTCGGTTCGGATCTTTGTGGGTTCGGTTCGGGTTCGGATAATCCATTTAAATTATTTTTAAAATTTTAAAACTGATGATATACTTTACATTTCTAAAAATCTATAAAGAAAATAATATATTACAAATAATTGAATAACATAAGTCAAAATGCCTAAAATTAACATATAAATTAGTTTGATTTGAATATTTGGATTGGGAAACAATAATTTTTTAAAGTATTTTTGATGTTTTAAGTGTACTTTAGTAATTTTATACATGTATGTTTGACTATTTACATATATTTACAAGTATTTTGAATAACTTCAAAGTATTCTATATAAATCTCTTTCGGATATATTCGGGTACCCGAAATACTTCGGTTCGGGTCGGGTTCGGTTCTTTAAATACCAAAATTTTGAACCCATTCGGATATTGAATCAATTTCGGTTCGGATTCGATACTACTTTTTTGGATCGGGTTCGGTTCGGTTCTTCGGATCCGGGTTTTTTGCCCAGCCCTAGCCTTTGAATATTTTGAAATTACAAAGTTCAAAATGGCGGTAAAACAGCTTCAACAAAGTCAGTGAAGAGACAAGAAGAATTTGAAACTCAACAAGTACGAAATAAACATATATATGATCGCTGGATCGTTAGAGAGGACCACTGACAGATAAACTGAGATTGATCAAAAAAAAAGAGAAAGAAACAGAGATGGGATTTAAATCTTTAAGGTTCCTTCTCTGTCAAGAAGAAGGAAGAAGAAAAAGAGGACCACTCTGCAAATTCAATCTCCTACATCCATTTTGCTTATGAAAGTTCAGCCAAAAGACATGTGAACACGTTAGGTTTCTGAGTGAATTTTCTTGATTAGTGAGCAACAAGTATTCAAATGTTATCATAAGCACGATCAGTCTTCAGACATTGAATGTGACTGCATTATTATCACGTTTTCACATTTTTGTACACGAAATTTTTTTCGTAAAAGTATAAAGGTTAAAACCGGGTCTATTAAAGACACAGCCCTAACCCCAGGTCTCTTAGAAACTTTTGACAAATAAAAATATGGAACTCGTCACATTGTTCCTCTTCTTACTTTGTCATTCTGTGAGTTTGAATATCATACACTATCAATTGTTTTTAAGGAGATAAAAATATTATCTTTCTCAAAGCATGTGTTTAAAAATTGGTTTATAAAATAATTTATAACCTTTATAAATAATTCAAATAAGTTTCTATGAGGAGTTAGGATTTTGATGGTTTGATATGTAAGTTTTTTTTTCTAATGGCAGCGTGGTTGTTGCGTTGACTTGCATGTTAGTCGCGTTTGAGTCTTCGGCTCTGGCGTGACTCCGTCTCTTAAGTTCTGGTGGTGTGGTGCTTGAAGTTTGTACATGCAGAATAATAGTTTCGACAGTTTGATCTTCAAGACTGAAACATATATGTTTGTTTAGTCAAAGGCTGAAGAAGCCAAATCTGAATTTTGGTAGTGGTTTTTGGAAAAATGGCTCCAAGCTGGTCAGGTTTTCTCATACAACTTAATCCCATTTTAATCAACTTCTAAATTTTAATATTACCAAAAAATTGATACTATTTTTCAAATTTACTTTGAAATGTTTTTCTTTCTTAAATTAAATGATAAATGTTTTCATAAATATTTTAAGTTTAATTAGCTATAAATATTTAAGAATTATTTACATAAATTTAGTAACCCAGCCATACCTCCTAAATACTGAACTTTAAACATAATCACTAAATCATAAATCTTAATATTATGATATTTTAAATCAAAATAATTTTTGAAAATGATATTCAATTTATGGTATTTCATTTTTTTGTTTTTATCTAATGAAAAATATTTGTCTCTGTTGATTGTCCGGAAAATTAATCTTTAACTTATATTATATTTTAAACTAGAATTTAATATTTTATAAAAAAATATTTCTGTAAAATTATCTGTTATTAGTAGCTTTATAAACTAACTAAATAAACATCAAATATCTGATAATTTTGTCAAGTAATATAAAAAAACATAAAACACTACCAAACACATAAAACAAAGATTAATTTTATTAACTACCTAACTACATTCAGTCCAAATGTATTATAGCTAACTGATTTCAGTTTTTTGGTCAAACTGATTTCTTATTTTCTTATACTACAAACTATAGGAATATACGTATACTAACAGGAGTTTTTAATACAAACGAACAGCACATCACCACTAACGACTACATCGTGTGGCTCACAAAGCACCGCAGCCTAGTTTGACCTCAACAACTTCTTTTATTTTTCACAGTTTGACTTTTCTAGTTGAATATTAAAATTAACTCAAAAATATAAATACTCTTTTCAGATATTAATTTTCATTCCATCTTCACAGAAGCAAAGAAGAAACTCTCTCTGATCACACCTCACCCTCAAGATCTGCCCCTTTAGGGATTCCCAGATCTTCCACCGCTGCAACCATCTCGTCGGGCGAATAGTCCGACCTCCCAATTAACCGATTCCATTTCAAATCAACAAACCGATTGATTAGAAATGTCCTTCTTCTCCTCTTAAGCTTCTCTCCACCTTCAACTTCGTTGCTCTACGACTCCTCGATTTACCCTCACCTCTACAAGCTCTTCTTCAAACTCGTTTTAATGGCGATTCGAATCACCTTCACCTACTCCTCCTATGTCGCTCGCAACCTCTCCTCCTCCGCCGGAGTCCGTCTCGGCTCCGGCGGGGATCTCCGATCCAGATTCTTCCCCCACAAGCCCGATCTCTTCAAATCCCCCAAGATCCGACCCGGTTCGATGTACTCGAGCATCGCGCAGGAAGTGATCGGGGAAGGGAGGCAGAGTCCGCTCGTGATGGGCCTCATCTCGGTTCTTAAGTCAACGTCTCCGGCTCCTGAGTCAACGCTACCGTCAAAGTCGGCTTCGTCTTTGATTCCGTGGTTGAATCCGGTGAAGATTGATGACGTGGACAGGGGAGGGACGGCGTTTTTTGATGGTGGTGATGAGGATGATGAGGATGAGAAGGAGACGAGTGGTGGAAGCGGATGGGTTAATAGGCTTTTGAGTATGTGTTCTGAGGATGCTAAAGCTGCTTTCACTGCGGTTACGGTATCTATACTTTTCAGGTCTGCTCTTGCTGAGCCGAAGTCGATACCTTCCGCGTCTATGTATCCTACGCTTGACGTTGGTGATCGTGTTATGGCCGAGAAGGTACTTTTTTTTTTATGCTTTGTAGTTAGCTTCTCTGCTTTGGCCTTTTGTATTAGATTATGGATGGTGTTAGATTAGTTTTAGGGATGTAATAGTTATTTAAAGTGTATAAATTGGTGTACTAAGCGTTGATATATAGTACTTAGGTGAAGGTTGTTAGATAGGCAATAGCTAAATGAGAGACTCAAGCAGTCAAGCTTGTCTGACCGACCATTTTGTTGAATGTTTGTGTGTTGTCTTGGTTTTGGTCAGGTCTCGTACATTTTCAGGAAGCCGGAGGTTTCAGATATTGTAATCTTCAAGACTCCTCCAATCTTGGTGGTAAGTCAAAGATTGAAACTCCTTGCTTTTTAAATTGTTTCAGGGTCTAAGTATTGATGATCTCCTTTTTGAATTTTGCAGGAACATGGTTACAATTCCAATGATGTTTACATAAAGAGGATTGTGGCAAGTGAAGGTGACTGGGTTGAAGTAAGCCTTTTGATCCAATCCACTTGTTGATTGATCCTTCTTGTTCTTCATCTCGGTCGGTATTACTCTTGTAGAGGCTTTCTCGGACTACAAGTTTTCTTAGAAATGGACTAAAACCTTTTTCTTTTCATATTTGTCAGTTTGTTGTTTTTAACATAAATGGATGTATTATGCAGGTTCGTGATGGGAAGCTCCTTGTGAATGACAATGTGCAAGAAGAAGATTTTGTCTTGGAGCCAATGTCCTACGAAATGGAAACAATGGTGAGCAAATTGTACTTCATCCTTGTTTGAGTATCAGATTTGTTGATAAAGTTTACTTTTCATTTGCAGTATGTCCCCAAAGGCTATGTCTTTGTCCTCGGAGACAACCGCAACAAAAGCTTTGATTCTCATAACTGGTAACTCTCGGTTTGGAACCATCTTTAATTGTGATGATTCACGGTGTAATGATTAACGATTGTGTTGATTGTAAATGGCAGGGGTCCACTCCCAATAGAGAACATTGTTGGAAGATCTGTGTTCAGGTACTGGCCACCGAGCAAAGTATCAGACACCGTATACCACGACCAGGCTATGCCAAAGGGACCTGTTGCTGTTTCATGACAAAGTAAAAGTGGAATGCTTCTCAAGATTAAGCACATGATTGTGCAAACCAGTCTGGTCAGGAATTGAAAACTGAAAACGTTATGATATCTCCGGCTACATAATGTTGGTTATGGATCGTATCATCTGGTTCCCGCTGAAGAGTGGGAAGCCGGAGAAATTATGTGTAGAAAAAGGAATGGAAGATGCAAAACTGTAGAAGAGATTTTTGCTATGATTGTTGTGTAATTGTGTGTGTTTTTAAACGGGAAAATTCCATATAAATACACTAACTAAATTCTATTAAGCTTTTTAATACCCAAACTTTTTCACTACCCAGTTTAATACCTCAACTAATTATTCTGCCCATTTTAATACACCAACTTTTATAACTGTATCTATTTTAATACTCAAACTTTGTTTATTTTAATTAAAAATACTAATAAATTTCAAACGAAATTTTAAAAAATCTCCAAAATCTAAGAAAAAATATTTAAATTTTCTAAGTTTATTTGAAGATTTAAGAAATAAGGTAAACAAACTCTGTATAAAATTTAATGTTTCTTAAAAAAAAGTTTTTGAAGGAAAAAAAAAATAATTTACTTTTTATTTCAAAAAAACAAACTAAATTCAATATATAAAACTTAAAAAACTTATTACAAAACTTAAGATTATAAAAAATTTATTTAATTTCGTTACTCAAACATATAATAAAATTAATTTTTTTGTGAAGTTTAGACATTTTTAAAATTTCATTGGAAACTTATTAGTATTGTTAATTAAAATAAACAAAGTTTGAGTATTAAAATGGATACAATTATAAAAGTTGATGTATTAAAATGGGCAGAATAATTAGTTGAGGTTTTAAACTGGGTAATGTAAAAGTTTGGGTATTAAAAAGCTTAATAGAATTTAGTTGGGGCATTTATATGGAATTTTCCCGTTTTTAAACCATGAAAGCTTTTTTGTAAAGATAATTTTTGTCACAAGTAAGATCTTGTTGTTGTATTTCTGTGTTTATGTATAACAATCCTGTGAACCTGTGTTGTTAAGTAATAAAACCCAATATGGGAAAATTGTTAATTAAATGTTTGAATTTTAAATGTGGTAGAATAAAGTAGAATACATGGTTAGAGATGAATACATTAACAAGAAATGTGAAGAGAAATAGTTGAAGAAAAAATAAATAAACGAAGAGCTCAGGGAGTGAGTGGCAAATCATATGCCGGTGAGGATTGCGAAGGACCAAACCATCACTATAGGCCTATAGCCAATAATCATCACAGCTATTCTACAACAAATGTGCACAAGCCTGGAATCAAACCAGGGTCTGTAACGTGGCAAGGTACTAGTGCTTTGATAAACAAACAAAACTACATATGTCAGTTAATAAAGCAGCAACAGACTGAACAAGGACAACTAAACACATATTTCCAATTGACCAAAAAAAGAAGAAGAAAAAAACACATATTTCCCAAAAAAGAAAAACACACACACACATGAGGCACACAAGTTGTGATATCATACATAAGAAACAATAGGTTTGTGCTAAAAAAACTTTATCCAAAATGAATGCAACAACTCCCAAGTGAAACAGTAGTCCCGAAATTATACATAAAAACTTGAAGTGAACAGAATGTGACCAAAAGATGCCACCCTCGTCAAAGTTGATTATATAGACAAGATGATGCACAAATTATAGTTGGAGTCTCCCATGGAAGTGAAAAACTCAAAAGCAGTAGAGGGTCATCAACACCAACCAATATTCAATGGCTTCTTTGTATTGATGATATTTTCTGATTCTCCGGAGACAGCAGCCATGTCATGTCCTTATCATCTCCTATCAGAAAAGGATGCAACAACACCCCTCTATAAAGGTTCTAAGGCGAAACATTTGTCCAGAAATTACCTTACGTCACACGGCAAAGTCTCTCAAATGAAAATTTAATTCAAAATTTAGTCGCAAAATTATATTTTATAAAAAGTAAGAGCTCAGTCCGCTGGCAAGCACATCTGAATACAGAAGAATGCGAAGGACCCAACCATCGCTAAACCAATATCATCACAGCTCTTTAACAACTGCACCAGCCGGAAATCGAACTCGGGTCTGTACCGTGGCAGGGTACTATTCTACCACTAGACCACTGGTGCTTTTGATAATCTACCAAGTATAAAATATTTATCAGAGAAACATTAGATTTCAACAAAGTAAGAGTAAGACTGGTTCTCTCAACTTTGTACCCCACAAAAGTGGAAAAACTCTTACAGAACCAATAAAAATTTATTATCATAGTTGTGTATTTTTCTTAATGTTGGCCACATCAAAAAAGCCCTTTGAATGTAAATTTTCCAGAACCTTTGAATACAAAACAAAATGAACTAAACAGCAAGGAATTTAAGGACTAGTAGTATTTTCGCTGATATATAGGAAGGAGAAAGAGAAGATAAGCATACGATACAATCTGGGCAACATAAATTGAACAAAACGTGACCAGAAGATGCCAAGCTTGTGAAAGTGGTTGCTGTAAGTACAAAAACAAATCAACAGCTAAAATGCACAGGATGATGCAAAAACTGTTCTCATGCCTGCAGTCTCTCATGGGAACTAAGAAGTAAAGTAAAAAGGTCTTGTTACAGACGACACAACGGACAAACTCAAAACAATTAAATATGGGGCTAAGAATGTAAATATGAAAATGCGTTAAATCAGATTGTCCATCTCTTTTGAATCCAAGATATTCAGCAAAAATAGACAGAAGAACATCAGACAATATGGTGATAACAAGAAGGATCTCAATTGAACATACTGCTTCCCATGTGAAGTTTAAAACAACACAACACAAAAATAATTAAACTGTTTCATCACAAAACACGGAAGCACCATTTTGCCTTCTGCAAAACCTATTAAGATTAATGGAGAGACAACACTAAACCCAACACACCAAACTCACCACACACCACTAAGTAAAAAATTTCAAAGTAGAGAGGATGGCCATTCTTGTTAAGCTTATGTTTGACTAAAACTATGACAGAATCAAACACAAAACTGTACCTCTCCCTCCACTCTTAGAGAACATAGTTATATAAAGTAGTTATGAGTTTTTGCTTCTTTTGTCTTCTTCCCATATCAGCTTGAACCTTTAGACTCTTCACGGATTTTCTCACCCTCTCCTTCTAACTCCGTTACTCCTAAAACATCACCAGCTTGTGCCACGCCCCAACACTCCCCTGCTTCTCTTCCTTGACTCTCGTCTTCCCCCACACTCTCAGCTTCAACGTTTTCTCTGTTATTACAAGGATTACTGTTCAGATCCAACCTCCCTGTTTTTCCATCCTCCTGACCCGCTGTTGCTGCTGATGCTTCTGTTTCCTCTCGCTCTAACTGCTTCTTCTTCCTCCTCATCATCAGCGTTGTAAACCTTCTCTTCACCGTGCTGCACACCGTGCACACGCAGCTCGACTTGTGCCTGCCTTTCCCACTTGGCGGCTGGATGCACACAATGCATGAGCATCCAACTCTGTGTCTTGGATGTCTGGTCGTGGTTGCAGCCTCTTCCTCGTCTATAGTGTCTCCCAAGACTGCAGCACTCGCTAGTGCATCCAGACCCGACGGTTCTTGCTCAGTTTTTTCTGTCTGGCTTGCACCTGTTCTTCTCTTCTTGTACTCTTAAATAAACACACAAGACAGTTAGTGTCCTGAGAAGGAACCATAAGAAGAGGGGCCAAGGTATAACAGAATACACACCTTTCCCCATTCTAAGAACATTCTCAAGCTCCTTCAGACTCTCCTCAGGTGCAGAACACGAACACCTATCATTGCTTTATCAAATTACAGCAACCAGATCTTCTATTAAAGTAACCACAGGAATAGAAAAACTTTTGGAGAATCTTACCTGCTCTCGTCCCAAACATTGTCGGAACATGTCCACTTTGCAGGGAGAAGAGCGTCTACAGGTAACCTTCTCCATTTAGAGCAGTCATCACAAGATGCCCATCGTTCTTGTTCACTACATCACACATATATATTCATTAGTAAATTTCTTGAAAGTAAACTCAGAGGAGAAGATAAGTTACCCTGAAGGTCTTGAAGTGATTATAGTCCTCTTTCCAAAAACAGGAGGTTCCTGTCCATACCATAAACAAGAAACTTAATCACATGACACTCATTGTTCGTAAAAAAATCAAACAAGTTCCACCACTTACGTCAAACTCTTCAAACTCATGCTCCTCAACGACGACAATCGTAGGCTTTGCACTAGGAGAAGGACGAATCAACTCCTGAGTTTCTTCCCATGTGAGTCTCACCTCCATAGATTCTTCACCATGCCAAAGCAGTCTCTTGTTTTTTACGGTACGAGTCCTCTTCTTGTCTTTAACCCGTGAAGGATCATCACAACTCCTGCCTCCATTCATCTCACTCTTCTTCAAGCTCAAATGTTCAGGCAGATTTTTCAGTTCTTCAGGGGTTTGTGAGGGACCAGAGGAAGCGTTTACGGAGGTTGGAGTCTCTGTAACACCAGAGGATGATGTGTCCTCGTTAGAAGTACCGTTGGTGAGACCACTCTCCTGTTTATAAACATTAGATCCAGATAAGAATGGAGATACATAAGCAGAAAGAAAAAAAACAGTACATAGAGAGACAAGAACCTGTATGCCTCCATTATGACCTTCCTTCCTGAAACCCATGATGAGTTTGCCACTAGGATTAACCCTACTGAAAGTTACTGTACAAAAAGAAATTCATAATGTGTTAATAAGACAAAAACATGAACTAAGTTTATCAAAGTAGTACCTGTATCACCAGCCTGTAGCCTCATGGACTGTATACATGGAGTGACACCTTCTAATACATACATTCTACTGTTGTTATTAGGCCAGAATCTGAACTGGAATGTCCACTCTTTACCCCTCACATCTTGGATCTTCAGAGGAATGCCTTCTGATTGGCTAATGGGAGGAAAGAAGGCCTACACACAGAGTCTTAGCTCTTTAGAGAGATCTCAAGGGACAAGGGGATAAAGCATTATAGAGATGTGGAATTAATTACCTCTGCACAGGCTTTTGGAAGAACTAGACGACCAATGCGCCCAGCATCACTTGCACTAAGAGTTTTCTCAAAAAGAGGTTCAATGTTCAAACATAAACTAAAATAAAAGTTAAGGAAAAACATGGGAGTCACCAGAACTGTGTCCAAAGTAAAATGTTTGGCAAAAAAAAGGATACTTTCCGGAGATCTGCTGAAGCTCTTTATCAGTATACTTTGGCCAATACCGAGGAAGTAAATGACCTTTCCCACGGCCTTCGACAGGAGGCCTACCGATCCTAACCTGAGGAGATTTGCTAGTCCCAGGAAGAGTGCCAAGAACTGAGTTTGAAGGTTTTTGCAGTATACTAGAGGCAGAGGATTGGACATTGTGGGTCTGAGAAGAAGCACCATCCATGAGTTTCTTTGTTGCAGTTGCAAAAGAAAGGCTATAAGGAAGTGTTGCCAAAGCCATATTCAAAGATGGTGGTTGTGATGATTCATGCATTTCCCCAGCGTTAGGCCTAAACCCTGTAGTGGCATTATTATCTGGTTTCATGAGATTACTAAACCCACGTTGAGGCAAGAACTCTTCTCTTTTATCATCTCCAGGGACTAAGGGCTGAGAGAAGAGATCAGCTTCGCTTCTTATTCCACTTTCCCCATTCGTATGTTGCCCGTTCATTAGCAGTCTGCTAAACACGCCTGGATTCTCACCTCTCTTATCCTGCAAAAGCAAAAAAAGAAACGTTAAGACAGCAGAACACAGACTCACTAGAACAACATCATCAGAATCAAACTCACCAAATTGAGTTGATGGCGATTAGTACATGTACTACAACCAACACCACCGTAGTCCATAAACTCTACAACGAGCTTAGATGCAATGCATCCACAATGAAGTCTCTGTCATTGCATAACTTCAATCAAACCAAACATTACAGAGACGACACTAAAAAAAAAAAAGACAAAAGTTTTTAAAACCCACCTTGTTGCATAAGTAGCACTCCCTCCAACCAGATTGGTCCAAATGGAATGTTTCACAGAAAAGAGAAGCCTCATAAGCCGATCTATAAAGACAACAAAATCAAAACATTAATCATCTCCTCTCTATTTTTATCCCCTTTTTGTCCTGTATTAAATTCCATGCTAATTATAGATCAAAAAGAGTCAAAAGGATTGGTAATAACCAATAGCCAGTAAAAGAATCAAGAAACCATCTACGTAGTCAACATAACATAACCATAATGAAACAAGCCACGATTGAAAAGAAAGATGGAGACTTTAAGTCCAATGAGAGAGATACCCGCAACGAGAGCAGAGATCAGCGAGAGCACCAGATCGAAGAGGCCAACCTTTCTTCCATTCAACACTAGTGGTCGTGCCACAAGACAAGTTCATGCACATCTTTGACCCCATTTTGACTTGGAACATCTTCAAAGTCTGAACCTTTCACCAGATTTTTGCAAATCCCAAATCGAAAACCTTAAAAAAAACCTATGGAGAGACGAATCTGAGGTGAAATCGACGTGAATTGGAGAAGAGATTAAGCATGAACATGCATCGACGTGGGTCTAATCAAAGTCGAGTTGGGTTGGTTGAAAGTCACGGCGGGAAGGTAGAAGATGACGGCGGATTGAAAGAGAAGAGAGGCTACGAGGTTTTTTTTTGGTTTGGGTGATTTTTTTTTTTTGTTTGATTTTTTTTGGATGTGAAGTAAAAAATTATGGGGGTGGGATTAGTTATAGAAGGAGAGGATAAAGAGGTAGAGAGCATGCAAGGGGATAGAGAGGAAAAGAAACGCATGAAATGCATGCACGACACTTGATTGCATACAAACACACACGCCGCTTAAGACCAATGTAAAACAGAAGAGATTAGGAAGAGACACAAGTGAAATGAGTTTGGGGGGTTTTTTCTTCCCTTTTTTGACTTTTTGACTTTTTTTTTTCTTCTTCTCTTTTTAGTTTGGGGTTTAAAGTTTTTTTTTAATATACATTTATAGGCATGAATTAGAGTTGCTAGGAATTATATTTTGGGGGAAATAATGGGTATGCTGACGTGATTTTGATGTTTTATTATATGTATTCAACTCTAATATGTTAAGGTATTTTTGGTGTAAAATTAGAATGTTAAGATATTACAGGAAAGTTTGCTAATAAAAAAGATATTACAGGAGAAATATCAGATATATTCTTTTAAAATTAGAATATCCATGCATGACTCATTGACACTTGAAGAATACGCACATATATCAGAAACACAAGGCTTTGAGTTTTTTCTTGATTATATGTGTATTCACCTCTAGTATGTAAGGTAATTTCTGTGTAATATTGGAATATTATTATCTCTTGGGAAAATATTATTTTTATGCTTTGTTAGTTTTTTTTTTGCTTCATAAATGTAGAATGCATGCATGACACTTGAAGAATACACACTTTTATTTTGTTCACACACACATATATATATATATATATATATACATCATCAACGGAATGCTCTGTGTGTTTTTTCTTTTTCCTATTGACCTTATGTATATTCGAATACAACAAAAATCAAGATTTTTATTTATGAACGACTATGTATTTTTGACATATTGATTGACTCGGATATTTTGAGTCATCCACTAAAATTAATAATTTAATAACGATTATGACTAAACCGATATTTCCCCTTATCTTAATACTAGTATATAACTATTTTCATCCACAATTAATTCATGAACCTGGCTTGGATAGTCGGAACAGAATCATACAATTTGAACTAGTAAAAATCGAAAACATTCGTTTTATCATTTTGTGTGTTGCCATTGTATTTAACAGTTCACTATTAACTGGTAAAGAGAATATATTAAATAATAGCATATGTTGTAAAAATTACTGGAAAATTATGTATATTTATTTATAAAATATAGTACGAACCTATGAGAAATATCTTTTGCATTTGGATCTAGACTTATACATCTGATACAATGATTAGTTTGAACTATAAATATGATTTTTTTTACGAAAACTCTAAATATAATGTTATCATTAACTACTAATAATTCTCATGTTAAAAATAATTAGACGAGCTTTAATGTTTTGGCCACGTGAAGCATATTGTTCCTGGCCATGTGAAACTTTTTTCTTAACAGAAGTTGTGAACAGAGCCTAGTTGACACGCGAGCTAACGTACGTAACCAAATTATCAATCTCGTACCGGACATGTTTGCATATGAGAAACAAACAGCCGCAACATTCTTGATTCACCGTAGAAAAAATATAATATATTTATAGAGAAATTAACAATTTTATTAGCCTCATAGTATCTACTCTATTAAAATAAAGTCATTCTTTTTATCTACTGATACAAATTTTCATTTAAATTTAGACCCTTTTTAGAAGGTTACAAATAATATAAGTCATATAATTGATTGAACCGTATTACTTAAATTAAATTAACACAATTAATATAAAGAGACGACCTTAATGTAAACTAACTTCAAAATACGGCAGGTATCCATGTGTATACCAAAAACACATATTTTCTCCTACAAATACAGAATGTTCTAAAAGAATATATATATCATCAAAATATGGAATATGGAAATCTACTAATTATACTTAAATTAAACCAGTGGTCATTCTTTTATTTTTTGAACAAATTATATAGTTTGGTTTTTTGGCTTAGTATTAAGAAAAAACTCCAAAAACATTGAATAAACTTCTACTCTATTAAAATAGAGTCATTCTTTTTATCTATTTATATAAGTTGTCATTTAAATTTGGACTCTTTCTATAATGTTACAAATAATACAAGTCATATAGTTGATTGAACCGCATTACTTAAATTAAACCGACAGTTATTTATGGAATAGAGTTTTGGGCTTACTTTTGTATTCATGACAAATTATATCGTTTAGGTTTTGGGCTTAGTATTAAAGAAAAACTCCAAAAAATATTGAATAAATGTTCTATCCTAATGGATCAAAAAACCAATTACTATTTTAAGGTCCAAAAAATATTTAATATTTTAAGAAAACAAAATTATATATTATTAATCACTTATTTAAATCATGTACTTTAAAACATGTTAATATTTTTTTATTTTAAATAACAACCACTCTGTCTTGATAAATTTCAATGGTAACTTTTATAATAGTTTTTTTTTTCTTAAATAATTTACTGATTTAAAAAAATATAAAGCAAAACTAAAAACCAAATCTAAAAATTAAAATCCAAAACCAAAAGCTGAAAACGCATGTTATATTTTTGCTTTTGTTTTGTTTATTTACAAAATAAACTATTGCAATTTTTTTTAAATAAAATTGTTATCTTTTCAGTTTTAAATTAGATGTTCGATTCTTTGGGATTTGTTTGTTGGTAATTATGAGTTCAAACTAACTCAGTGGATCTAAAAGCTAAAAACCTAAACCAAAAGTTGAAAATCAAAACTAGAAACTTAAAAATTAAAAACCAAAAACCAAAACCTAAAACCAAATCTAAAAATAAAAACTGAAACTAAAAACTAATGCAAAACAATCATCACCACAAATTTTGGATTACTGATTTTATACCAAAACATACTTTAAATAAAGATAAAACCTAATTATATAAACTTTTAATCAAAAAAAATTTTCGCGCTTTCAAGCGCGGGTCAAAATCTAATTTCACCTTAAAATATAAAAAATCAATTATTATTTTCAGACCCAAAAGGTATTTAATATTTTTAACAAAACAAAATTATCTATTATTAATCATTTATTTAAATCATGTACTTTAAAACATGTTAATATATTTTTTTATTTTAAATAACAATCACTTTGTTTTGATAAATTTCAGTGGTAACTTTTAAATAATTTATTGTTTTATTTTTCTTAAATAATTTACTGATTAAAAAAATGTAAAGCAAAACCAAAAACCAAATCTAAAAACTAAAATCCAAAACCAAAAGCTGAAAACATATGTTATATTTTTTTTGCTTTTTGTTTACAAAATAAACTATTTCAATTTTTTAAAAAAATTCTTATCATCTTTTCAGTTTTAAATTAGATGTTCGATTATTTGAGATTTGTTTGTTGGTAATATTAGTTCAAACTAACTCAGCGAGTTTAAAAATTAAAAACCCAAACCAAAAACTGAAAATGAAAAGTAGAAACTTAAAAACCAAAAACAAAAATTTAAAACAAAATCTAAAAATAAAAACTGAAACTAAAAACTAATGAAAAACAATCATCACCACAAATTTTGGTGAACTGATTTTATATCAAAATATTCTTTAAATTAAGACAAAATCCAATTATATAAATTTTTAATCATAAAAAATTTCCGCGCTTTTAAGCGCGGGTCAAAATCTAGTTAAGTAATTAACATGTAAAGACTTTAGGACGGCATGGAAGAAATATATATATATTCAATTGATAAAAACTGCAATAATGCCTGGTACACACACAGCTGTAAATGGGGCTCACGTTCCCAGCTTGCAAAAGAGATTTATTTCTCAAATCTTACATTTTTTTTATTTGACGTTTTAAAATTATGCATACATAAATTAAAAAATATTTTATTTTCTTTTATTTTATTTTAACCAAAAACTTCGTTAATCTGCTACAAGTTTCTTCTTTAGGACTCAATGAATGGAACATTGGTCGTGATATATTTGGTTAAAATTTTAGGCTATGATTTAATCAAGAGATAGCTGGTGGCATGTCAAGTCCCATGTAGAAATGTCACACTTGTCATCTGTATGGGCTGACATGTTCAAGTAATTGGGTGCAGCTACAATTGCAAAAGCTGATGGACACACTGAATCTTACGGAACCGCACTACATCAGATGTGTTAAGCCAAACAATTTGTTAAGCCAACAGTGTTTGACACCAAGGCTGGCTTTGGCAATGTTATACATACAAAGAAAGAATCCAGTATCCAAGGAAACCTGTAATGGCAAAACAACCAATATTATAAATAAAATTTGAAGAAAAAAAGCATGGTAAATCGAGAGGAAGAAAAGACATACATTGTTGAAGTTGCAGACCAACTTCTTCCAAGACAAAGGAGACAGAGTGGAACAAGGCCAAATATCCTATGAGTATTAAAGCCCCAAAGGCAAGATTAGCCATGTAAAGACTTCCAGTCGGAAGTAAGATCATTACAACCAACTTGCATATAAACCTGCAATTTTCAACAAATAAGAAAAAAACATTGAACATGTAATAAAATCTGAACATACCAAATTTAGAGCTAATTTGGTTAAAATTCAAATAGAGTAATGTTTTATTTTTCTATCCACTTTGATCATCTTATAGTAAATGGAATACTGGCTGGTTAGGTGTATGTGCAAAAGACTCTAAATGATCTTTGAGTTTACGACTCTAAACGTCTAAACATCAACTCAAATTTGTGCGTAAAATGTAAGTAATTATTTACTATTGATTTGGTAGAAAATGTGTTTCAACAAGATTGTATATCCACTGGAAACAAATGATCCTTTCATAATTGATTTTCTCTTTAAGAGGTTTTAATACACTCTGACGATTATTATTTTTTGAATCCCTCAAACCAAATTTGACTTCAACCGATAGAAACAAGACAAGTGATCCTCCGCTGTAAGATTTTGCTAAGGTGCTCTCAAGTCTTAAGAGCATCTTCATCAGTGAACCCACCATGGGGTTCACACATATTTCCAAAAAAAAAACTAAAATAACGAATAGTGTTGAACTCCATCTTTTCCGAACTTTTCCCGGTGAACCTCTGTCCAACGAGTTCAACATTATTCACGACATGTGTCGCCATCCATTAGTTCGATTATTTATTTTTTTTTTTTTCATAACACTGTGAACTAAACAAAGTTCGAGGATAAACAAAAGGGATAAACTAATAACAGGAAAATGAGATGTCAGTAGACACCATCACAAGACAAAAAGCATGTAAAAAGATAAACTTGGTTTACCCACTCCCTTACCTACTGAGCCTCCAAGACGAGTAGGTGATGTAGCCACGATGGAGCATTCCGAGCGATATACGACTGATGGCGCCAATCGCGAGTGACACTAAGAGCAATGGCCGTTGCAGCTGCATTACGTTCCGGAAGAGTATGATCCAGACTCCATGAATCTATTCTTGTCATAAGCCAGAAGATGCTGTGACGAATGTGGCTGAGGCTAAGGTAAGCAGTTGGATTTGTAATAGCGTCATGTAGGCATTCCGAAGAGGTCTCCAAAATAATATTCGAGAAGTGTAGGTTGTGCAAGCATTCCATTGCCCAGAAGAGAGCCCACAGGTCGGCCTCGGTCTTTGTGCGCATGTAAGAATAGACCCGGCGACTATGCATGACTGTGCTTTCTTTTTCATCACGAAGAATCCATGATGCACCACTCGGCTGATTTGGATTTATACATGAGGATCCCACATTACATTTTAGGGACCCATTAGGGGGTTTCTTCCATTGAACCTTTTCTATGCCAATACCGTCCACTTGATCCATCGATCCTATGAATGTATCATACCATGTGGATTCTTCTTCATATGCCCTCTTAGCAATAAATGAAGACTCTAGAACCTTAAAAACAAAAGAGTTCCTAGCTTTCCATATTTCTAATAGCAACCATGGAAACACTTTTTTGTATGGATATCCACAGAGGCGCTCTTAGCAATCTTGAGTAAATGGAAAAAATTTAAGAATGTGGAATTCCTAGAGAACCCTCCTAAAGGAATTTGGACATTAGCTTGATCCCATATGTCACGTTCTTTAACACATGTAAATAAAACATGACAAATAGTCTCATCCTCAATTCCACAAACTGGGCAGGTTGGATCTATCGGAATACTCCGAGTAGACAAACGTTGCTTAATAGCTAATGCACCCAATAACGCCCGCCACATAAAATATTTAATTTTTGGTGAAGCTTTACTTTTCCACAAATCTTGCTATAATTTATTTTCCATAGGGGTGAGGGAATGATCTTGAGGATTATCGAAATCCGCCAAAGCCTTCAACAACTTATATCCACTCTGAGTCGTATATGATTTATTTGGTGTGAAATCCCATCTGATAGAGTCTTCACATACCAGTGATGGTTTCAAAAGTAGTATTCTTTTAAAAATCAAACAGTAAAAAAAATAATAAAAAATTATAAACATGAACTCCAAGAGGGGTTTACTGATGTATATATTTACCTGTGTTTGACCTCCCTAAGAAAGCATTAAATGCTAATATTAGAGAATTGATTTGTTGGATGCTAAGAACAAACCACAGATTTTTATAATGTTGATGTCCCTTTTATTTTTTAACACATAATATTTGATGTATATATTTACCAAGAATACTTGACTGTGTTTGACCTCCCTAAGAAAGCATTAAATGCTAATATTAGAGAATTGATTTGTTGGATGCTAAGAACAAACCACAGATTTTTATAATGTTGATGTCCCTTTTATTTTTTAACACATAATGTATTAGAAGTAGAAGGTTCATGAGAAAGGATTCCATTAACGTTATCTGGATGAGAAGCCTCATACTAACTATCGTTCAACAATCATAAGGATTTTGAAATGGATATAACAACAATGTTTATTCAAATACAATGTACACCACTCATTCTTGCAACTGTGGAACGAACCCTTCAACATATTACACAATATTCAACAGATTATACAAAAACATAGTTATAATGCCATTCAATTAACAAGAAGTCACTTGACAGAAATTACTTTTTTTTCAGAAGTCCCTTGGTTTCATGACTACTGTGGAGTGGTTAAGTATCTGCAAGCTGAACTGTCCACCTTTCTCTGAGGTATCCACTTTAGACTGTCCCGGAGGAGGAAGTAACTCAAAGTTCTGAACCAACCTACCAATAGTGATTCCTAAAATGGGCAACGCCAGTATAATCCCTGGACAACTTCTACGTCCAACACCAAACGGCACATACCTAAAGTCATTACCATTTGCTTCCACGTGGGCCTCTTCTTCAAGGAACCTCTCGGGTCTAAACTCTTCAGGCTTCTTCCAGCTGTTAGGATTGTTCGCTAGCCACCAGGCATTGATCAAGATTCTGCTTTCTGCTGGAATGTCGTAGCCAGTGAGTTTAGCGTTCTTGAGGTTCATGTGAGGCACGAGTAGAGGCACACCCATTCTTCTACGGATTGTTTCCTTGATCACAGCTTGGAGGTACGGAAGCTTGTGAAGCTCAGGCTCTGTGACTTGCACGCCTGGTCCAAGAACCGTGACGATTTCGTTCCTCAGCTTGCTCTGTATTTCAGGATGGTTCACTAGCTCTGCGATTCCCCACTCCATAGACGTTAGTGTTGTCTCAATCGCTGTTTTCAGCACAAATGATGTAAGAAATCAGTATCACACAAACTGAATCTATATACATTACAATTCAGCCTTTAAGGAGAGACAACTGGCTAAGTTGTGAGGTTGGCCTAGTTTTCTGTTTCACCCGAACAGTAGAGTTCAATTTCGTATGCACGCAGAGACCTAAGCTTAGAGGTTTTGATTACGTATCCTACAAGGAAGAAATTGGCAAAAAAAAAAGAAATGAAAAGAATGATGATGGGAGTTTGATACCCATTCGAATTCGGATTGGGTTTTTCAGTTTTTTTTTTGGATTCAGCTTCTATGTTTTCTTCTGGTTTTATATATGTTCGGATACCGTTCCGTTAATAATATTTACGATTCATATACTTTTTTTTGAAACACATTTAGGATTCATATATATATTATATAACTCTATCTAAAACATATTTTACATCTGGACTTATTTGAAGTTCGGTTAATAGTATTAGGGATGAGATATTTTTTAGATGTTATAAAACTAAACATGAATTTTGTATTTGAAAAACTTATTTAGGTTAGAAGATACACTAAAACCTCTATAAATTAATACTCGATAAATTAATATACACTATAGTTCCAAATTGAATTTTTGGTTCAATTAATATATCGAAAAATTGATATCTCTATAAATTAATAAAAAAATAAAATTTTGATGTATTCTCAACATTATTAATTTATAGAGATTTCAATGTATTAGTTTGGATCTTCGGACCAGGTTTTTCAGGCTATTCGGATTTTCAGTATTGGGTTGTCTGTTATGGTTCGGTCAAGAAAACCGAATCTCAATTATAATAAACCGGATACTGAACAGAAAACCAAATATAATAAGGCTAAGGAAGTTACCAGCGATATTGATATTCTCAACGATGTAAAGAATGTTATCCCCATTGATTTCTCCCTTCTGTTGAGCTTCCAAGATGTGATCAATAGCGCATTTCAATCCTCCACTTCCTGTAGGCTTAGTGCTCGCAACTTGCCTGTTTGTTTTCTCAAAATGTCAGTTTCAAATAGAAAAAAAAAACTTAACACAAAGAGACTACAAACTCACTTCCTCTCGTCAACAAAGTACTTTTTAAAAAGCGCTAGTCTTCTATCCTTCACATCTTGGCAGATCTTTAAATACCCTCTAAGGAACGGCCTGAGGATAGGTATAAAATCTCCATAGTTATACTCAAAACTCTGAGTCAACCTACTTCTCTCACCGTTCAAGAACTTGAGCCTCAAGAAAAGAGGATCATCTTCACTCTCAAACCTCTTACCGAACATGATACGAAACATGTTGTTGTACATCATCAACTGCAAACGCTTTATAACCACAATCCCTTTCGTGGCTGCGTCAGGATTCTTCTTCACATCCTCCACAACGCTCGCAGCTTCGAACTCCCATCCTTCCCTGTTCTGCTGAACCACCTTGTTTGTGAAGAACGGAACCGTCATGATCCGTCTCATCTTACGCCAGTGCTCTCCGTAGACAGTGAACACCATGTCTTGTCCCTTCCCAGTGAAGATATCGTACACCATGTTTCTGTGTCGGGAACCAAACTCTACGCCTTGTGTGTGGAGTACTTCTTTGGTTAGGTCAGGAGAAGAGACGACCACTATGTTTCGCTGACCCATCTTGAAAAGGAAGAGGTCTCCGAACTTCTTAGCGTAGTCCACGAGTTTGCGGTGGTTGAGATCATCTCCGACCTGGAGCCAGTTTCCGAAGATTGGAATAGGTGTTGGACCAGGAGGTAGCTTCAGTTTCTTGCCGCGGAGCTTGGAGATCACGGAGGCAAGAAGCACCGCCACGAAGACGGTGATGAGAGACTTCTCTAGTAAGAGAAGGTCCATATTACAGGCAGCTTCACTCGCAGTTTACTTTCCGAACAGGGGAATTAAAGCAGAGAATCTGCTGGAAAAAAAAGATATGGATGTGTATGGTGAAAGAAGGAAGGTAATATTCAAAACAGTTCTCCTCGATGTTACCTTTTACACATATCATCATCATACTATTCAAACTCAAGTTGATTTTGTCCTCCTATTTGACATTTACTTGAAGTAGAAAAATAAAGAGAAATATATTCTAAGAGAAAAATAAAATTTGCATTTGGAAGAATTTGGAGAACAAATTTACGTTACTTATACAAGGAAAACGTGTTTTATAAAGTAAAAATATCTTTATAGAGAAAGAAAACTTATAAATTTTTGTTTGGTACTTATGTGACCAAGTTTTTGGTGACTCTGTTTAAATTATATACTAAGAGCTTTTCTGCACTTTATACAATGATAAACTTTTTAAAAATTTCTTATATATTTAAAATGAAATTTATTAATATTTTATATTTTATTATTTTGACTAATATTTAATACAAATTTGATTTAATTAAGCAAAGAAAAAAATATAAATGTTTATTTTAAATTATATTTAATATTATATATATAATATATTTAAAATTCGAATCTTAGAATTTTTTTTTCTATTTATTTTGGTTAAATGAATTAAAACAACTTGTATAAAATTACTAAGAAAATTCATATGAAAATTGTATAGTTATTAAAAATTATAACTGAACACAATTTATAAAATTGTCGATATCTAAAAGAAACTAATGATATTATGATTAAAAATTTATTAATTTTCAAAAGATCTATAAAATTTGAAAATATAAGTAGTAAAAATTGTATAATTATAAAAGTAAAATTAAATAACATTTCAAAATTTAAAATGCATATTTTCTTTTTGACATATAAGGCATATTTCAATATATTTATTTTTAGTGATGATTTGATTTATGAATTATTATCATATTTTAAGAAGTTTACTAAAAATATAAATCAACATTAAATGTAATATATCAGTTATTTTCATATTCTCTAAATTTGCCAAATTATATATCATTAATAAATGTAATTTTCCATGTCATATTTAATTATAAGCCATGTCATCAATCTTAATACTCATGTCATTATTTTATTTTGTAAAAATGATAGTACAGAAGACATACAACAAATCACTTCGCAAATAATATATAGAGAATTACCGTAATTTTTGACATACTTCCAAAGATTTAAAAGCTTGAAGTCTAACGGGAATTTTAGCTTAGGATTAGGTAAACGTAAAAAATTATAATACGAAAAGTGGTATTTCAGGAGGGTTGTGTCTAGCCGACTCTCCAGAGTTGCATGAGTTAACAAATTGATTGTGTTTGTTTTATTCTTAAATGGATCGAAAAAGAGAAACTTGTGTCTTTTTTAGTTCATGCAATTTACTCTGACCTCATCGGCAATATCAGACTATTATAATAATTTCTTCTCCACTTTTGCACTTTTAAATCAAAGGTTTATGTCGAATCCTAAATCCGGAAATTTGTAATTAGGAAATTTAGTTGAATTTTTATGTGTGATTAGAAAAAAAACTAAAGGTTTCGTTTATTGAAGTGTAATCTGAAGCGAAAGTAAATATAATTAAAGAATATGTTGTCAAATGACAAAACTAAAATAAGATGTTATTGATATTTTCTTTCTCTAAGCTCTTGTGTCTCTCCTTTTCTCGAGCGATTGCCTTCTCCTTTTTTATGTTCCAGTTGCGTGAACCGTGGCTCATCATAATTACCTTCTGACTCGCTACATTGTACAGCGGAAGTATCAGTGGATTAGGTTCAGCATCGTGGGGAGGCCTTACCGTCTGATAACATGTGTCAGATCGTCCAAGGGAGTTAATGACCTGCTTTCTTCGGGGTGATGATGGCGCGCGTTTCGGACCTTGCGTTTCCTTTGGGCCTCTTCTTGTGGATTGGGCTTCTGCCTTCGCGACTGGGCCAGATCGTCCCCTGGGTCATGGTGCTTCATCATGGTCCATATCCAACAGTTTACAAAAGTTGTGTTTATATGCCAAAATATATCCACATGTAGAATGCATCAATCTTAAAAGGTTGTATGTGTTGCAGTGGTTAGTTCTACTAGTTCAGTCTTAATTAACATGTGTTGTTTCAAACCTTGATTATTAGGACACTAAAAATTGTTCTTGCAAGTGAGGTTCGATTTTGAATAATTTGAGCAAAAGTTGTCCCTTCAAAACATATATATTTTATGATAACTTCAAGAGAACTCAGGAGATTATAAGTAGCTACAGATTATAATACGGATACCCATTCATTTATCCTTCTTTTTTTTTCTTTTTCTTTCATTCATCCTTCAGATACATATGTTTGAACGGATAATTATTTGGACAAGATTAGGACTGACAAAAAAACTTCAGACATGTGTATGTCAAGGACTGACTGGAATCCCTTCGTGAAATGGACAGGGTTAGTTGAAACGAGGAAGTAAATGAACTCCACACCTAGTCCTGAATTATATATTGTCTTAAATGAAATTTGTGTAATGAGGTTTTGTAGGTTTGGAAGCGATCTCATGAACGTTTTGTTACAAGTTAGAAGAAACGCCAAATTGATAACTATATATGGTTCAACAATCATAAGGAATCTGAAAAATTATAACGAACAATGTACATTCAAAACAATGGGAACCACTAGTTATTGCAATCATGAAACCAACCCTTTACCGACATCCACAACACCTTCCAAAAGAAACAAAACAAGGAATATTCAACATATCCCACAACCATCTATTACAAAAGTCATTTTGCAGAAATTACATTTTCTTGTATTTTTTTATTTTATTTAGAAATTTCAAAAGTTCCTTGGCTTCATTACTATTGTGGAGTGGTTAAGGATATGCAAGCTGAACTGTCCACCTTTCTCAGAAGTATCCACTTTAGACTGTCCCGGAGGAGGAAGTAGCTCGAAGTTCTGAACCATCCTACCAATAGTGATTCCCAAAATGGGCAACGCCAATATAATCCCAGGACAGCTTCTACGCCCAACACCAAACGGCACATACCTAAAGTCATTACCATTGGCTTCCACATGAGCCTCTTCTTCAAAGAACCTCTCGGGTCTAAACTCGTCAGGCTTCTTCCAGCTGTTAGGATTGTTTGCTAGCCACCATGCATTGACAAGGATTTTGCTTTCAGCTGGGATATCGTAGCCATCGAGCTTAGCTTCGTTGAGGTTCATGTGCGGCACGAGGAGAGGGATAGCCATTCTTAGTCGAAGCGTCTCCTTGATCACTGCTTGGAGGTATGGAAGCTTGTGAAGCTCAGGCTCTGTGACTTGAACTCCTGGTCCAAGAACTGTGTCGATTTCGTTCCTCAGCTTGGTCTGGATCTCAGGATGGTTCACTAGCTCCGCAATTCCCCACTCGATTGACCACAATGTTGTCTCAATCGCTGTTTTAAAACATAATGAAGATATCAGGATCAGACAAAACATATATACCAGCTCCTTAATTTAATTGAGACACATCTCAAGACTTTCAGACAAAACATGTATTGGGAGATCCAGAAGAATGTCTAAATCCATAAGTCAAGATTAATAATATACATCAATATCTTTAATTTTTTTAAAAAAATTATCATTATCTATTATATACCTATTATTCCATATTAATTTAGGAAATTATGTTTATCATATCTATGCATTGTAATATTATTTTCTATAAATAATATTTCTTTTTGATCTCTTACCTCATTAATCTATCATTGGTATTAGAGCTATTTTCCTATTTTGTGAGATTAGTCCAAAAGAGAGTAGTATAGTATCCATTACACAAGCAATCAAGAAACGTCTAGACACTTGATTACGTATCCTACAAGCAAACAAAAGCCGAAGCTTACCAGCGACATTAATGTTCTCAACAATGTAAAGAACGTTGTCCTCAGTAATCTCTCCCTTCTGTTGAGCATCAAGAATGTGATCAATGGCGCATTTCAACCCTTCACTACTTGTCGCCTTAGAGCTCGCAATTTGCCTGCAGTGATTTCTCAAATATCAGTTTCCAAAAAAAAAACCTAAATATCAAAAACAAAGATGATATTTTAAGTAACTCACTTCCTCTCGTCAACAAAGTACTTCTTAAACAGCGCTATTCTTTTATCCTTCACATCTTGACATATCTTCAGATACCCTCTCAAGAACGGTCTAAGGATAGGGATGAAGTCTCCATAGTTGAAATCAAAGCTCTGATTCAACCTACTTCTCTCTCCATTCAAGGCCTTAAGCCGAAGATACAGAGGATCATCCTCACTCTCGAACCTCCTATCGAACATGATACGGAACATGTTGTTGTACATCATCAACTGCAAACGTTTCCTCAACACAATCCCTTTGGTCGCGGAATCTTGATTCTTCTTCACGTCTTCGACCACGCTCGCAGCTTCGAACTCCCATCCTTCTCTGTTCCGCTGCACAACCTTGTTAGTAAAAAACGGAACCGTCATGATCCGTCTCATCTTACGCCAGTGCTCTCCGTAGACAGTGAACACCATGTCCTGTCCTTTGCCTGTGAAAATGTCCAAGACTACGTTTCTTGTCCGAGATCCGAACTCCACACCTTGCGTGTGGAGCACTTCTTTGGCGAGGTTAGGTGAAGAGACGACCACTAGGTTTCTCTGTCCCATACGGAGGAGGAAGAGGTCTCCGAATTTCTTAGCGTAGTCGACGAGGTTACGGTGGTTGAGATCGTCGCCGACTTGGAGCCAGTTTCCGAAGACGGGAATGGGGATAGGACCTGGAGGTAGCTTCAGTTTCTTGCCGCGGAGCTTGGAGATCACGGTGGCGAGAACCACCGCCGCGAAGACGGCGATGAGGGACTTTTCCAACAAGAGAAGATCCATTGGTGCTGAGGAAGATATGTTGGTGGTGTGAGAGAGAGAGAGAGATGGTTTTTATAAGAGGGAAGAGGTTGGTTTGGTTTGAGAATGTGGGGCTAACGGTAGAAAGAGGACGGCGTTAGATTTAACGGGATGGATGTGTGTGAATGGTGGGGCTTGGTGTTGTTGATGGGGGTAGGTAAAGACCGTAAAGTGAGAAGGGTTTGGTGAAAAGGTAGAGAAGATGAAGTTTTATATTCATACTGTCCTTCTTTTTTTGACCTGCAACCATTTAAGAAACTTGTAATAGTCCTTTTAGTTTTTACCAAAAGTTTTCATGGAAGTTTGATAAAAAATATATATATAGATAGAAAGAAATTTAGTGGTTTTGGACATATTGCAATATACTAAATGAGAAATCAGATTTTTGCTATTCTTTTTTAAAAAAAAATTGTTTGATTTGAATGATTGATGATCTTTAATTTTTATTGCTGTTAGTAAAATCTAGAAAATGTAATTCTAGAGCTAATCCTAGTTTATATTAAATGAAATGTCACTTAATTGATTTTTCCTTAGATGTCCATTATACATGAATTTTTTAAAAGAAAACTATCATAATTAAATTGATTGAAGGTTTTTACCTTTTTTATTTAGTCAAACCTAAAACATTAATTTTAAAGCTAATCCTAGTTTATATTAAGCCGGATTTCAATTAATTCACCTGTGCTTAGATGCAATTAACAATTATGTGTTTTTAAAAAATATGATAATCTAATTGATTGATGATTTTAAGTTTTTATTTATTTTAATCAAGTTTAAAAAGCAATCATAGTACTAATCGTATCATACTATACATTAAATGAAAAGTCATTTGAATAATTTTGTTTAGTGTCAATCATATGTAAAGTTTTTTTAAAATTTAATTATAATTTTTATTTATTTATTTATTTAATTATTTATATTAGTCAAGTCAGAGAAATACAAATATAGAATAAATCCTAGTATATCTCAATAATATTATTTTAGAAATCAGTTTTATATGTGTCTTTCTCACGTTTACTTTCAAGATGGTTGATTACACTAATACATTTAATGAACTAAATATAGTTAAAGATAGTATTACTAATTCTTTTCTTTAATTTCTTTTTCAAAAATTTCCAAAAATATATGTAATAAAAAGATTTTTTTATAAAGTCATAAAAACAAATTGAAAATAAAAAATATGTGTATATATATAATATGATTTCATAAAAAATGAAAGTTCACAAAATAGTAATAATTAATATCTGTGTATGAGCATAGAAAAATTACATAGTATTGAATATATGACAAGTCACTTTAGATTTTATTTTGTTTTTATGATTATTATCATCTTCGTTTTTTGTAAGTAGTGGTTACTAAAATAAACGTGAAGCACAGTTACAGGCTTAGGCTTTTTTGGCACACTGATATACATACATGATACACCCGTGAAAACCCTCTCAATCTCGTCAATTTAGCAGCAACCACTCTATTGACTTCGAATTTAAATGATAGCCCTATCTCACACGCTCGTAATTTATTATATAAGGAAATGATATATCAATACTATTAAAAGAGAAGGAGTCTAAAAAAATCTACTTATACAAGTTTTTTGGACCCTTTCATTAAGTAATTAATTTTTTTGGTCATACCCTATATTTTCTCTAACTATACAATAAATAATTTAACTAAACCCATTTATTACTCGAATATATCATTGTGCCATACCAATGAGATTCCATAACGTTATACAAGGCCCATTTTATTAACTTAAACAGCTTATCAAAGTCATTTGTTTTTTTTGATACCTAATGTCACGAGCAATAAAGTTCTTTTCAGATTATACGACTTATGAGTAAAAAGAAAAGCAAAACATAATCATAAAAAATCAAAAATTCATGCTTTGAAGAGATCAAGATGCACATCAAAAATCATTAAGAAAATAAGTTTAATCATTTTCACGAAAAATCCCGTGAAAGTTTCTAACCTAAATCCCGGCCTGAATCAATCATATTGATTTGCCTTTACAAATCACCAGAAGATCATCGTATTCTATTTTAATATATTTGAGGAATTTCCTCCCGTTTAATTAAATTTAGTTTTTTGAAAAAAAAAAAATTGTTTCTTAATACAAATTTGGAAGTATTGACTTTTTTTCCTGTGATTTAGGTGATCTATCTTCCTTGTGGTTTAAGTTTAATTGGACTTATATTTGCAGAGTTTTAGAAAATCTGATCCTGGTCAGCAATGGGAGTTAGCGAATGATGATTCGTTGGAGGGGGGACTCATCTTTCGAAGAACATTCATAGAAGCAAACCTGTTGAGTGACAGAGAATGAATAGTCTAATAGAGGGATGGGGGGTTTGCTTGAAGAGTTACATAAACAAGAGGAGGAACAAGAACTGTTTGAGCAACAAGATAAGAAACTAAAATATCAGTTACACCACATGGAGAAGCATCAAAAATCATTGGTTTCATATGTTTCTCAAGTAGGAAAAAACAGAGCTTGCTCTGAATCTCTCGCTGCGTCTACCTAAAATGAACGAGAGAAAAGAAGCCTCTCTAGGATCAGGTTTGAACCGGTGTTGGAAGATAACCAGACATGTGTTTGTGACAGAGGATAGTTCTACACGCCATTCTTTGCACGAAATAGAACATCAGGTAGAACAGTTAGAGTATTAAATAAAGACCCTTTGGAATCTTGACGTAAGAAATCAACCTGAGGTTTTGAGAAAATGTATGCCCAAGCTATGTTGTATAGGTTTAAGAAAAGTACTAAAACAAATTAAAGTTAAATCGGAACCAGAAAACTGAGCGCAACATAGGAATACTTTGTGATTGGTGATCAACCTGATCTTTTGAAGACGTTAGATATCAAAGCTACGACTAATAGATTCAAGAAAGGTCTTAAAGTAATGAAAGCTGAAACTTAGGTAAAGGTTTGATTATAACTATAATATGTGTAATGCAACATATGTTTGATCTTTTGTCATTCTGAATGTTAGTTCACTAACCTGTGGCTAGAGAAACAATGAGCATTATTGGCTCCGAAAGTAAAGATGAATAAGAAATAAAAAAAATTATTTATCTCTAAGTAAACTATTTTAAGCTGTAGTTGTGTTCATTAATCTTTGAAAGCTGTTAAATATAATTAATATTCATATTAACAATTTAGGTACCCATTTTGTTCTCAAATCGATTTCAATTTTTTGATTCCAAAGATATATGATCTCCTCCTCAATTATGTATAAAATTCAGTTCAATTCATTTTTCAGGTTCGGTTCGTTGTTCCAGTTAAATATTCTCAAACCTATATATCAATTTATAAAAAAATTGAACTAAAATAATTTATTTCATTTGAAAATAAACCCGCGCTTTTTAAGCGCGGGTCCAAATCTAGTTTTGATTTTATGTTACAAGATAAAATGATGATAGTAGATGATAGGGCTGGATAAAATATAAGTATATTTTAATTTGATTCGTTATTCGTTTTAATTCGAAGCTAAAACTCCGAATATCCGTAATTTCAAAAAGCAAAACAAATACTAATTCATAAGAAATTAATCAAATCACAAATATTAATATTTTTAGAAAGGAATATTCTATCCAATCCATTATATGCATACATATACATCTATTTAATAACTTATATAAATATATACTTTATGTAAATATTATATTTTACATAATTTTACAAGAAAAGTTATTTATTAATTTATTAGTTTTTTTAGAAAGTAAATAACTTTTTATGTTTGTAATAAAACTTATTATTTACTATTAATATTAGATTTTTTTATTTTATTTTATTTTATTTTTATCGATCGAATTATGCTATTTAACTTTTTTTTAAAAAAAATGGGATACTGAATATCGGAATACCCATGAATTGAATCGAATCGAACAATTTATTCAAATGAAACGGATTGGATTACGATCTCTAAAAACTCAATATTTGATCTGTGTCCACTCCTAATAGAGGGGTACACCTACCACGAATGACAGCGACATGGAAAAATGGTGTCACCTACCTCTCACCAATCCCCTCCATTGCCCAAATTGTCACCATACTTCTCCTCAAGTCGAGTTGACAATATTATTCCACGTCTATCTCGTTTGCAACCACACTTACATGGGCCTTTTCATTTGGTCCCACCGACACATTGTAAACTGGGCCTATCAGCCAGAACCAGAAAATTGCTTTTGTTACTTTTGGAGTTTGGTACTAGTTATGAAAATCAGTTCTGCCCATTTTACCCCGAACCAAAATCTAAATTGGAACCGATCTGCAATATCCGACCAAAACCGAACCAAAATTTTATGAATCCAGATTGGTTTCTAAACTATTTTATCCAAAAGAATCGGAATAAAAAAGAATCGACCCAAATAGATCTAGACTCAAAAGAAATAAACCCAAAGAAACCCAATTCGATAAGAACTGGTTCATATCCGACTTATAACATAAATATCTACAATTATGACTTTTTAAATTCAATTTTTTATATTTTTATCTGAAATAACTTTTTGTTAACAATCTTTATTATTATTTGTATAACATTCAAGTAATATAAATTTCTAAATGTAAAACTTAAGTCTAATTTTTTTTTATTTTAGTTATTTATAAAAATATAGATATATATGATAGGTTTTAACTTAATTTGATAGGATTTATATTTCATATTCTTTTCATATCTTAAACACCGGACCCAAACCCGAAACAAATCCGAATTTTGATACATACTAATATCAACATACAGTACATTATTCATTTCCAGCCTAATTTCAACAACAACAAACCCTTAAATCAACATTTAAGTCCAAAAGAACACAAGACAAAACACATAGTCATTGTCCTTATATTACTCTTAATTAGCCAAACTTCAGGATGCAAAGACCACTCCTCTCTTATGTCCTGCAACAACCTTCCAAAGCCTCTCATACCCATCTTTGTAATAGTCAAGAGACACACACAATTGCCTTATCGCCTCTCTTTTCTGCTCAGCCACTTCTGATGTAGCCACTCTTGTCTTCTCCACTTCTTCTGAAAGCTCACTAGATCGTCTTCTCAGCCTCACTTGCTCCATGTGAAGCTCCTTCATATGCTTTTCCATTTCCTTTATCTTCTCTTCTCTCTTCCCTATCTCTTCTCTTAGCACATCACTCTCAGCTCTCATTACACTTAGCTTTTGTGTTTCTTCTCTAAGCTTCTCCTCCATTTCAGCTTTCTCTTCTGTGATAATCCTTACATATGATTCCACCTCTCTCAGTTTCTCTCCAAGTTGGCTTTGTTCTTCAAGCAGCTTTGACATTTCTCCCTTCATATGTTCTTTCTCTGTTAATATCTTCTCTTCAGCCTCAGAAACTGCAGCTTTCAGTGCACTTATCTCTTTATCCCTCTCCTGTAAACTGGTTTCCACTATTGCCATCCTCTCTTGCAACCTCAAGACTTCTTTCTTCTCAGCATTGAACTTGTTTCTGTGAGTATCAGCATCAATTTGAGCCAACTCAAGCTCATCCTGTAAGCTATGAAGCTTCTCCTCTCCAGCTTTACTGCTCTCAAGCTCAGTTTTCAAACAAGAAACCTCTTTCTCAAAGTCCTGAAGCTTCTCTTTTGCCATACTCAGCTCTTCCTCCAGGTCCTGCATTTTTGTAGCTGCTTCATCTTCAGTTTCATCTTTATCCAAATCAAGACTCTTTTGCTCAGAGGACATGCAGCTCTGAAGCTCAATCTTCAGATTAGCAATCTCTTCTTCATGCATATGAATCTTTTCATTAGCTTCCTTAAGCTCTCCTTCATATACAGTAATCTTGTTAAGGAGATCAGTATTGTTGTTTTCCTGCTGGAGGAGCTTCTGTTTTGTTTCTTGAAGCTCAAGTTCAAGATCACCCATCCTTCGGATCAGTGCCTCATCACCATCTTCATCATCAGGAACAGACTTAGAATCAGAATCAGAACCAGAATCTGTCAAAGAAGATGAATCTTCCTCTTCCTTAGACTTCTCTTGGGAGGTGGGAGAAGATTGCTCAAGAGAGGCCTGTGACTGGATCCCAGAGGAAAAGTTTTTAAGTTCACCACTAGCTTGATCATAACGCTCTGCCAGTGCACGGTACATGCGGTAAAACTCCTCAACAAGGTGGATTAACTCAGGACGCTTCTGGTAATACATCTGAGCTTTCTTGGCAAAAGAGTCTGCGTCTTCTTCAATTAGCTTCAACATGTGACTCACACGGTCATCCATCTCTGACAAGACATAACAAGATCAGGTTTTAATTCTTTTGTAATATATACATTTAAGTGTAGATAGATCTCAGTACATACTCTCTAGATTTTCTGCAAGCCATTTTGAGTTCTTGGGACAATTGTGACTGTCCCACCACCATGAGTGTGATTTCTTGGTCATTGATCTCTTAAACTGCTTCTTGCTAAGAGCCTGAAAATGAAGACAAAGTGAATACATCTTAGATGTTAGAACCAAGAGATCAAACACAAGGATCTAATGTCACAAATTTTTCTTACCGCAGAGGAGGCCATGACTTTGTTGGTGCAAAAGAAGCTCAGAAACCCCTACAAGAATGTTCAAAGAGGGTTTGGTTCATACACTAGGAAACCCTTTGCACCGCATATGAAAAATTTAGGTACAAAGTAGATGAGATAAGAGGAGGAAGAGAGGATTCCGCATGTGGAAAAGGAGACACGTGAAGCTTTAACAACCAGTTTGGCATTTACCACAAAAATCAAGAAAAATCCATAGATAAAAGTTTCAGCTCTCACTAGCCTTTTTATTCTATATCTAGCAGAGAAATCGATGAACTAAGTAATATAATCATATATTACAGAATTAAGAAGAGACAAAAAGAGTAGGAGAGAATAAGGCTTACTTTACTCAGATGCAGAAAGAACAAAGAGTTTGCTCAAAGAATGGTCTCCTAAAGTCTTTATTATAACTTCTGCTTTGGAGATTATTAGATGATTAATCTGATAAAAAACAAATCATCTTTATTTCACGTTGCCTAAAGAAAAATAAAAAAAATAATAATCAAGAGTTTAGCTTCTTCTCACATGAATCTTGAAAATTGGAAACGCGGCTCTGGAAATGTGAATACGCTTTCTTTACACGTCTTTACTCGTTTCTCCACAACAACTCACGACTCACCTGCTTATTTTAATGTTCATTTTAAGAGAATTAAAATATTCAATAATTGTGAGTCATAGTGGTATGATATGGGAGAGCATTAATGGCGGATCTGCACTCTGTAACGCCCAAGATTTTGCATGTGGCTTCATTATGATTCGAGTTTTAATCCATATCTCTAGCGTCTAGAGATAGAAAAATGAAACCTATTCCTTCTGGCATCAAACCAACCTTCAACAAACTTAGAAGCACAATCATTAAAATTAAAAACTAAATAACTAAACAGTGGTAATGTTTTGTTTGGGGTAAAGCGTAAACTTGTGAGTTTTGGATTTAGTTCGCGCTAAAAATAAGTTGATGTAGTTAAACGACGAAAATAAAATTATTTCGTTAGAAAACTTAGATAACACTAACTGTTGGTACTAGTCCTAGACATACGAATATACATATAAGATGTTACACCTGCTGGTACATATTAGCGAATGTTTTTTTTGTTGAATTATTGGTTATAGTTATTTAATCTGGATGATATAGCTGGTTATACCTGTTTAATATAGTTGGTATCAAACCAATATAGCCAATCATATCCAATATGTCTTGATTTATAGTTATTTAACTAGGTAGATGAGCATGGTTTATCTTTTTTACATTCGGTTGTTTTGTTGATTTTGGGTACAAATATGTTATTTTAGGTACAAATTAACATTTTGGGATACACAATGGAACATAATAGCCAACCAACCCAAAATCGTAAGTATCGAACTGAAATTCTACATGCATTCTGAATTTTCTATAACCAAAAAAATCAGGAAAAAGATGGACCAGAGCTGAAAATCTGAATGCGTAGGACTAGTGGTGGGTGCTATCTACTTAAAACAGTTGACTTCAGTATAAATATTTTAATTAACAAAAAACTGACAAACTAAGAGTATGATTAACTCCGGATTCTTAAGGCGCAGTTCTTAGCGGAAGTTAAAAAACTGTTTTTTAACTTTTAACTAAAAACGCTAAGAACCTGTTCTTAAATAAGGATTTTAAAAACCGGTTCTTATTAGCGTTTTAGTTAAAAGTTAAGAAACAGTTTTTTAACTTTCGCTAAGAACTCTGCCTTAAGAATCCGGAGTTAATCATAGTCTAATTGATAAAAGATATACCCATAATTTAGCAAGAAAATAATAATATAATGATGCCAAGGTAAAAAAAAATTAATAACTTCTTGATGTTAATTTTAGAAACAAAAGTTAATTACTTCTCATTTCTACATTATTCCATTTACACCAAGAAATTAGAAAAAAAAAAAAAACAAATGTGACAAAATAAAACAAAGATCAAAGGGTCCTTGTATTAATCGGTTTCATTGGGAAAAGATTCGAACATCACACATAGGCTTGAGTCCATTTATCACATCACTCTGCTTCACATCTTCACACGCAATAACAAATGGTAAACGAACCCTAAATCCCAACCAATCAAACCCCAGTTTCCCACTCAACAACACTTTAACCACAGCTTCATGATTCTTCTCTTTATTCCTCAGCAACGTAGCATCAACATCATACACCTTTGCCTTTCTTAGCCTTGTGGCAATATTCAAATACGTAACGTTTCCCGGGCTTTGCGTGAATCCAAGAATCTTCTTCTGTCCGAGGTTTATGTTCTCGGAAGAGACAGAAGCCTTCATGGGGCTGTAATAAAGCGTTGGTTGGTCGTTCTTGTTAGACAGCTCAAGAACCGTCTTCACGTTCGCATTCATCAGAAGATCCGTTTTAGAATTGTTTACATCCAATCTCGAGAACTTGAGGGTTGTGACAGAAACCTGAGGCAGTCTAGAATGGAGTGAAGAGTTCACAGACAAACCTGTCAACAATACGATTATAAGGACAATGGAAACAGACATGCATGTCCATGCACAACATTTTCTGAAACAACCAGACCAATCTCTCTTCTCCTCGTCCTCTTCACCGATACGTTCCACAAAAGAACCTGAGTTTCTACTGCGGTCTGTCTCTTGCTCATGTCTGATACGAGACGATGATGCCCTCAAACCAGAAGGAGGCAGCTTGAAGGATGGAGGAGCCTTTGTAGGGGTAACAACGTAATCATAATCGTTTCTAGAGACGGAAGGGCTTGAGAATCTTGAGCTTAGGTCAAAAGAACCTTTCCCGTAGCTGCTATCTTCCCCCTCTCCTTCTTCCTCTTGAACTTTCTCGAGGCCGCATTGTTTTGATGCGAACTCAGGGAATGCTAAAGCGGGATCAGCAAATCCTGAAGAAGAAGAAGAAGAAGCCCTCTTTGGTGGAGGAGGAGGAGGAAGAAGCTCCGACATTGGAGCTTTGTTTTGGATTTCATCTGAATTAGATTTTGTGTCTCTACTCAAATCCAAGAATGGTCTTGCTTGGTAGATAACTTCAAGGGTTGTAAATCTCTTAATGGTAGATCAAGGCTGGCTCTTCCTAACAAATCTTATTCGTTAAATCTATTGTTGTCTTATTATTAGAAAGGAAACAAAAAAAAAACTAAACTCAATGACCTAAAATTAGAAATGCATTGTTGCATGCATGAATTTGAAAACTGAAGTTAGTGGTTTAAATTTTCTTAAACTATAACTTTGAATTACCTAAATTCATTGTAAATAAATAATAATAAAGTTATAATAAACATCAAGAAGTTAGATAAAGAGGACACTAGACTAGGAGTTATTCACAAAAGCATACACACAGACCAAAACGCAAAACAACATGATCAAATGTCTCCTTGGCTTTGTAATATCAACACCAGCAAGGTCATCATCACCAATGTTCGAAGTATATATATATCCTTTGTTAGGTCCCAAAGACTTAAGGAACAAGTTACCACAATTTTCTTTTCATATTCTCATTTAACTCTCAACTCATGCTTAAATACAATCTAAGTTAAATAACTAACTACGTACGTGAGAGGTGTGCAAAGAAACATCCTATAATTATGGAAACATAATCCCACTAAGTGAAAACCAAAACAGAAATAACATAACGTATGGAAATGGTCCTTGTGGAGATGGCCACGTCATCTTCTTCCTCATGTGGTATCTCATCANATTTAACTCTCAACTCATGCTTAAATACAATCTAAGTTAAATAACTAACTACGTACGTGAGAGGTGTGCAAAGAAACATCCTATAATTATGGAAACATAATCCCACTAAGTGAAAACCAAAACAGAAATAACATAACGTATGGAAATGGTCCTTGTGGAGATGGCCACGTCATCTTCTTCCTCATGTGGTATCTCATCAATACTCCCATCCTCCAAACAACCTTGTCCTCAAGGTTTGACACAGAACATGGAAAGCTTGACTGAACAGTCTGAACCGCATTGTTTCGTTTTCTAAATACACATGAATATGTGAGCTTCTTATCACGTAATGGTGGTGGCTTGCTAGAAACAGGTTCTTCTTGGCTGAGTTTCTTTGGTATTGGGGTGAGTGGTTCATGGCAGATTGGACACGTCGGAACAGAAATGGCATATCCATGTGTTTTGTGAGCAACACTCCGGATCCAGAACTGTGTGATTAGGGCTTCAACATGGGACAGATCAGTGAATTCTTTGGATAACTCGTTGTTTCTTGGTGAAGGAGCAAAGCTTGAGTTATCCATAACAAGACTAAATGAACAGTTGTCTGTTGTGGTCTTTGAATCAGTGACTTGAATATTTTTTTGAAAATACTCACAGCCTAGAACCACCACGTTTCCATCACCATGGGAGATCGTAACCACATCATCATACATATCATATTTTGGCTCTTCGTCGTCATAGACATCGAAGATTGGTGTAGCTCCATCGATCTTGATGTATAGCTCCATGGGTTCTTCCGGAACCTGAAGATCCGTAGCAACCTTCATGATCTGTATAGCCGGTTGATATGCAGCACCACCATTAGCTCTTCCATCACCAGCTTTCATCTTTCTGACTATCTCCACCATATGATTCACGGTAGCCTCAAGAATCCTAAAATTTTCAGTCATAGAAACCTTCATCTTTTGGAACTCATCGTGCATTTGGAGGAGGAGTTTGGCCTTTATGTCTTCAATGAACTCTCCATTGCTTCCCATAACATCGATCACAAGATTTTTTTTTTTTTTTTTTTTTTTTTTTTTTTTTNATTTAACTCTCAACTCATGCTTAAATACAATCTAAGTTAAATAACTAACTACGTACGTGAGAGGTGTGCAAAGAAACATCCTATAATTATGGAAACATAATCCCACTAAGTGAAAACCAAAACAGAAATAACATAACGTATGGAAATGGTCCTTGTGGAGATGGCCACGTCATCTTCTTCCTCATGTGGTATCTCATCATCCTTAGACCCATGTCTAAACGGATTCAACTTCTCAAGATTCTTCGAAACAGATGATAGAAGAAAGTGTTTTTGTTGCTCTTTTTAGCTTTTAGTGCTCACCAACGACCACGAACTCGGATATATAGTCAGTCGCATGTGAATCTTTTATGGTCATATGTATTAATTAGCAGCATCCATCATCAGCTATTTTGTGTAGGCGATATAAATAGTTTGATTCAAATGTCGTTTATTCATATATAGTTTAGATGGACCGATGAAACGCAGTAATTCTTTGTTTTTGGGTTTTAAAACGTCTAACAACTTCGTAAGTAATTATTTTACAAGCGTGTCATGTTTGATTCATCCATGTAAGTATATGATTTGAGAGATTTGTTTCAATTAAAGAGCAATAAAAGGATTCACTGCAAATGTGATGATGAAGTTTGTAACTGAATGATGCAAGGACTTCGCAGGTACATTTTCTTCTTTGGTTTTTGATTTTAGGACATTTAGACAAACTAGAAGGTCAACAAGTTTGTAAATGGTTAGTCTGATGTTTTTAATGTTATATATCTATTAATGCTACTAGAGATGTTGTGTGTACAAAAATACCTTGGTCAATATGGACCCAATCTGTCAAAACAATCACTAGTCAGAATTTTTATGGATTAGAATGGGAAAAATAGAAACAGGTTGGTGGGTTTGTTACAATTTCAAGAGATTGAGTCAACATTCCTAATCCAGTTGTTTTGCCAAAGAAAAAAAAATTGCCTATTTGGTATGCGAGACCACATGACCGAACCGAAGCAAATGGACAAAATCATATCAATCAAACCAGATCCCCTACTTGCTTGTTGATGATAGCAATTAGCATGAGTGCGAACGTGATTGTGATACATGTTAAGAGGAAACCGGTTTAATACAATTGTAGAAAACCAAAACCCAATAACCGGAAATTAAACTCTCTACCCGTTGCGTGTAGAGGTTTGATGCCACCGTCATCGTCCAGCGTTGACGATTGAAAAAAACAAATCGAAGAGATCCAAACCCTAAATCACGAGACTTTTCTGATTCATTGATGAATTGAAGTAATCAGATTTCAAATCCAAAGATGGAAAGAGACAATGAAACGATGTCTTATTCATCTTCTTCATCCTCTGCTGCGTCATCGCTCGCAGCGAAGGCGATTAGAGCATCTTCTGCGCATAGAGACTCTTCACTTTCCTCCGCCTACTCTTCTTCTTCTCCTCCCGTCCCCACTCCCCCAAAGGTTCCATCTTTTTTTCTAAATCCTCAAATTACTAAGTTTACTCTGTTTTTTTTTTTTCTAAAAGTATCCACTTTTGAATTTAGGAGGTGGTGAAGAAGAAGACTGATCATGAGTACACGTCTATGAAAAGTTTGAACGAGCCTAAACGAAGCTTTTGGGGAAGTCTTGCTAGTAAAGCCAAAGCTCTTTTAGATGAGGATGGCCCTCAACAACAACAACCACCGTCCACTAGATTGGAGGAGCATAAAAACGTGCCTTCACGAACTAAGGTTTTGAGCTTTTGTCTAGAAACAGTTGCATTTGGTTTCTCTGTATTCTCTTATGGAGTTGAGATTTTTCATTACTCAGGAAGCTGGTAGGAAAACAGAGAATCCTTCATTACAGAGAAGCTTAGATGCCATCACTTCTTCCTTAAATTACATTGGCACTGCCGTTGAGGTTTGTTTCTTGTTTTGTATGTGTGGGGACCCGTTTTAAGAGACTTGCATCTATTATGTTTTGCTTACTTCTCATTACTAGTTGTGTAAATGCGAGTCACATGCATTATTATTGTCTTCTTTACACTAAATGAGAGAGCTTGTTGGGGGCTGAGAGTGTTAGTTTCTTAACCTATTTGAACCTGTTTAAGACATCTACTATGTTTTGCTTAGTTCTCATTACTAGTTGTGTAAAAGCGAGTCACATGCATTGTTGTGTTTTGTTTTACACTAAATGAGAGAGCTTGTTGGGGGCTGAGATTGTTATGTGTATGTGAATTTACTTAGGAGGGTATTACAGCTGTGGAGAACCGTACTGCTGGCATCATTCAAGAAACACGTAAAAAGATTAAGAAAAAGCCTAGTCTTTCTCGGAACCAGCACAACCCTGAGATTCAAGCTGATTTGGAGATTCAACTTAAGGCTTCTCGCGACGTAAGGTGCCTGCTGCTCTGTATCATTTTATTGGTTGCCAGCAGCAGAGATATATATCTGCTTCTTTAGTTTACTGATTATTGTGTTTGAAAATCAGGAAAAAAACGAATAGGTTTTTTGAGTTATGCACTTCAGTGTTAAAATCCTGATCATATATCTCAACAGGTTGCAATGGCCATGGCTGCCAAGGCAAAGCTTCTTCTTAGGGAGCTGAAGATGGTGAAATCTGACCTGGCCTTCGCAAAGCAGCGATGCGCTCAGCTCGAAGAAGAAAATAAGGTTCTCAGGGAGAATCATAACGGCGAAAACAGCCAAACGGATAACGATGATCTGGTATCACTTTCTTTTTACTCTTTTAAAAACCCTTAAAAGTTCTACATTTCTAATCTTTAGTTGTGTCTTTTTTTGTCTCTCATTTATAGGTGCGACTTCAACTTGAGACGTTATTGGCTGAGAAGGCTCGCTTAGCTCACGAGAACTCGATATACACTCGTGAAAATCTCTATCTGAGAGGAGTGGTTGAATACCACCAGCTCACGATGCAAGATGTAGTCTATTTTGATGAGAAGACTGAAGAAGTAACTGAGGTATATCCCATTAGTGTCACTTCAGTGTCTTCTTCATCAGATATCTCTCACACTCCACCAAACCCACAAGTCTTGGAGTTCAAGTGACTCTCTGTTCTTGTAGTGAATCAGACAACAAAGACAAATCGTTGTCTGTAATCGCTCTGTATCTGTAGAAATATATGTACGTTGTTGTATACTCTCTTTGTTTTTCGGGGTGGGGGTCTTAAGAATTTAGCTATGCATGTTAATTATACCCTTAATTATTGAAAAATAAATGTTCTATAGTTCCCATGAAAGATTACTTGCTGTAGAAATTAGTCAATTATTATAGGATCTCTCTTATAAAATTACAATAACAATTTTTTGTTTTTGTTTTTGACATCACAATAACAATATTTATTAAGGTATATTACAAAGGTTGCATAGGCTATACGACTGTGTGTTTTGTTGTGGCTGTTTCTTATTGAAATACATTTTGGTAGTTTAGAAAGCTAGAACACCTTCTCTTAACATAGATTGGCCTGGAATGGCTTGACTAGGGGAACCAGTGAGCCACTTAGGTGCATCGACATGACTTCATTGGTCGAACCCACGAGCTTCCCACCCACAAAGATGGCTGGGACCGGTGTGGAACACCCGAGCCTCATTAGGGCTTTCTCAATCTCACGACAATCAGGGTCCTTATCAATCTCATGGACGCTAGGATGAACCCCAAGGTCTTGGAAGAGGACTTGGACTGCATAGGACATGCAACACGAGCTCTTGCTGAATATAACCACTCCTTTCTCTGAAGACATTCTCACAACTTTCTCCATGGTTTCGTGAAGGAAGTTTCACTCAATCTTAGGGCTTGTTTCTTGATGAAGAAGAAATAAAATCTCACTTTGTTTCCTTCTAGTAGACTGAAAGAGATTTAAAACTGAAAGCTGCCCATAACCTTGTCTTTGAGTGAAGAAAATAGTTTTTTTTTGTGTGTATACTACAGTATTAAGCTTAATGTTGCATGAGACTTGAGCTTATTGAATCATAGGCTATTTATAACAAAACAGAGGGTGAACAAAAGAATATTGAGACCAAAAGAGAGAAATAAAGAGATCAATCTTTTGAAAGGTTCCTCAAAGTTCATCAAAGTAACTTTATTTTCGAACCAAATTAATATTTTTTTATTTAGTAATATAGGAAGGACCAACAAAAGTTGCATTGTGTTAATTCACCTACCCTTTTATCCTCCTAGATACCAAGATAAGCATTATTTTGATTGAATAGGATCATATGCTTCTTTGTTGCAGATATGCTAAAGAATATAACACACGTTTATATTTATTTTACAGTTTTTGTATATGCCTGAGAATTAGAATTATATATTTATGTGGACCAAGCTACCAATTTGTTTTTATCTAAGAATATTATTTTGTTTGTAGAATCATACTCAGATGAAGGGTGTATGATAGCCCAAAGTGGTGGCGAATAGACGAAAGAGATATGCTTATATTCTTCTCTAGATTGACGGTATTTTATGCAGACACGAGAAGAGATCAGTCTGGTCTTGATGGATCTGATCTCGTGTGTGTGTCAACAATAAAAACCCAATTCTTGAAACATTTCACTATACAATAAGATATGATTTGTCTCTTTGTGAGATTCTCTCAATCTCACTTCAGTAGTGATCATGAAGGAACAAAAATTCCCTATGGGCTTCTCTTGCGCGCCACTTCTTTTTTAGCAATTTGCTAATATTCTTTCCCTCTTGACTGATTTAACTATAAGTCTGACATAAATGAGATGAGAACTACAAAAATGAGATGAGACCTAAAGTCATTTTAAAGATATGGACCAATATATTCTTAATTTCCATTTGATTTTTAGTTGAAAACCAACGAAATTTCGTCCAAGAAGAGTAAGTTGCTATTCCTAGAGTGAAAATTTGATAGAAATGGCTTGGAAAACCATCACCTAGAAGAAACATTTGGTTTTGAGGAAGCCACTGAGTCATACTTGACTTAAATCACTAAAATAAAATGGTGCCCTTTAGGTATCAAAGATATGGAAATTGAGCGCTTGAACTTGAGATTTACTAACCACGTAAGAGGAGTATCAACCAGTTATACTAAATGATGGCCTTGAAATTTTTGTATATTGGGATGGCTAAACACCGGTTTGGTCGGATTTAGGTGGTGATCAATCTAGTTTATTGAGTTAGAATCACATGTAAATCAACAAAAACAATCTTTCTTTCTTGATTTCTAATAGGGCCCTGAATATCTCAAATTATCTATTAACCATATATTGTCAATATTAGTAACTTTGATGTTTCTTATATCAATGAATCTTTCAACCATATCTAACTCTCCTCAGAGGCTCAGACATTGTCAAGTAAGCTAATAACAAACCCACATTACGTGAGTATGAGCTCAAACAGCTAGGTCTTTTTCAGCTACAAAACGTTTGGCGGTCTTTGGACATTTTTTAGCCACATAGTAGTTTTCTTTCTTAGCTTAGTTTTCCACACTTTTTATGTTGCCTTAAAAGGTAGAGTTTGTCCGAAGACTGCATGTAACCGCCGAAGGCGATGTAATAAAAACAAAAGTAATCAAAAACATGTGACATGGATCATGGTATAAATATTAGTCAGTTAGACAAAACTCTTGTCCAAGAGTGGCAATGTTTATTATTTTACACTTCTAAGTTCTATCACCACTGAACGTTAATTGAACGATCGGATCACTTGACCTTTATAGAAAAGGCGAGCATGTAATGTTAATGTGGTCACTCAGACGAAGCCATGACGACGTGTACACTTACAGTCAGATGGATTTTATGATGGTATGATTATGGCTACGCATTTTATCCGATACATTTGATTTGATTCGTAACTGATTCAATCCAAAAAATCTTGATATCTATAAGTATCTGGAGCAAATCAAATATTAAAAATAAATATCCATTAAAATGAAGTAAATCACAAATAATAAAAATTCTAGAAGCGGATATCAGATCCGCTCCGACTTTTATAAAATTAAATGTCAACAACAGCATCAAACGAGAGGGCAACATTGACCGACATATCATCTGTGAAAAGATGTGGTATTTTCTAAAGGATTCAAAATTATTTTGAAGGGGTCAGTAAGAGTTCAAAATTGATTTCTAAAATGTTCAAAATACTTTTCTGAATCATAACGTTGATAAGTCATTCAAAACAAGATGACATGTCTATGAAAACTTCTTTTCCAAACTATCTTATATATATATATATATATATATATATAAGAAATTGTTATTAGTTTCGAAGTAAACATCGTTTACAGCGGCACCAATGTGACAACATCATCGAACAAGAGGGCAACATTGGCCGGCATATCAACATTATACTTCTCCATAAGATCTTTAAGTTGGGAATAACTGTGCACATCTCCCTGATATAACAATGTCCGGCGAATCTTCCGGTAAAGACACCGGGAAAAGAAAGCGAAAGGTTGGTCATTTATACGACGATAGAATGTGCAAAACACGATACCAATAATAATTGTCATTGTCATTTTATTGAATTCTTCAGAAATCGATTCTAAATCGAAAAGACAACGTTTTCAGTTTTTGAAAATTTGAACCTAATGCCTCATATTTTCACAGATATGTCGGCCACCTCTTATTCGATGATGTTGGTTGATGTTTTATGAGTTATCTATCAGTCGTTGACAAGAAAAAAATATCAGTCTACTATGGTCCATTAAATCGAAAAAACAATGTTTTTAGTTTTTGAAATTTTAAGGGATAAACAGTACGTCCTCAATTGAGGGTACACTATTAACCCTCTTAAAATACTATTTATTTTTCACTTTCCTCTTTCTATTTATATATGTTTAAAAATTGTGTACTTATTATTTTTCGTGCTGCATTTATCTTTGTGTTCCTCATCTCTTAGAATTCATTTTTGAAACCCTTTAGAAAAAAAATTATAGGTCTTTTGAACACGTTAATGAACCATTCAAAAAAAGATTTGAAAAGATGAAACATTTTTTAAATGTTTCAAAATTATTTTCTGAATGGGTCAGAAACATTTTCTGAGCGGCTCAGATTGATTTATAAAGGATTCTGAATTGGTCTGAAGGGTTTAGAATTGGTTTATGAAGGGTTTAGAATATTTTTCTAAAAGGTTTTCGAAACCTTTAGACAATATTTCTGGAACCTTCCAAAATATGAACCCTCCAAAAAATATCATGAACCCTTAGCTTGTTAACTTATTAAAGTCTCATGCGTCAAAATTTTACTCACATCAATTATATAATCCAAAACAAATTAGCCAGTTGAATCGTACAATAGAACCGGCGTCACTGAAGAAATTCTAAAGTGACAAATTTGAGGTGTCATGTTTATGAAAAAAATATGAAATACTTTCTGAAGCATTCAAAATAATTTTCTGAATGGGTCATACACATTTATGAAGGTTTCAGAATTGATTTTTGAAGGGTTCATAATTGATTTCTGAAGGGTTCATTTGGTTTCTGAAGGATTCATAATATATTTTTGAATGGTTCATAACTGATTCGTGAAGAGTTCACAATATATTTTTGACGGGTTTTCGAACCCTTCGGACAATATTTTCGAGCCCTCCAAACTTATGTTTCTGAACCGTTCAAAAATGTGTTTCAGTATTTCATGAGCAAACCATGACTCATAAATATTCATAAATATTAATATATTAATTCATGACATTTTGATCAAAATAATGAGAATCTTGTAACCAAAAGGGTAAAAAAGATGTAAGAACATGAAATGTTTTTTGAAAGGTTCGAAATTATTTTCTGAACGGATCAGAAACATTTTCTGAACGGTTTATAATTGATTTTTTAATGGTTCAGAATTGATTTTTAAAGGGTTCAAAAATGTTTTCCGATGGGTTCAGAAATGGTTTCTGAATGGTTTATAATTGATTTATGAAGGGTTCAAAAATATTTTTCTAAAGGGTTTTCCAACCTTTAGACAATGTTTCCAAATCATCCAAGAAATATTTTGAACATTTAGCTTGTTGACCTATTAAAATCTGGCACGTCATACTTTTACTAAAATCAATTACATGTTTCAGACCAAATTAGCCGGGTGATTGTACAATAGAGCCGGCTTCACTGTAAAACTTTAAGGTGACAAATATGAGTTGACATGTTTATGAACACTTTAAAATTGTAAAATATTTTATGAAGGGTTCAAAATTATTTTCTGAAGGATTCGAAATTATTTTCTGAACGAATCAGAAACATTTCCTGAAGGGGTCATAAACATTTTTTAAAGGATTCAGAATTACTTTCTGGAGAATTTATAATTGGTTTCTGAATGTTTCAGAATTAATTTTTGAAGGATTCAAAATATTTTTATGAAAGGTTTTTGAACCCTTCAGACAATATTTCTAAACCTTCAAAAAAATGTTGATAATCTCTTCAGAAAATGCGTCTCAATACTTCATTAGCAAACCATGGCTCATGATTATTCATAAATAGCAATATATCAATTCATGACATATTTGATACAAAATCATAGTTTTAAAACGACAAATAAATATAAACGAAAGAAAGATAAACTAAACGAAATGAATATTACATGATGTGGTTTTAGATATCGAAGATTAGGGACAACTATCCCAAACTTCATGATATAAAAAAATTATAAATTAAATGAAAGGGGTGATATATTTTTTTTTTTGAGAAAGAAAGGGGGGATAGAACCTTTACTTATGACGTAGAATACTTCTTCAAATTAGAAAATGAATATAAAATATGTCTGAGTTTGGATATCACGACACAAAATCTTCACAAAGGTATACTATATGGAACAATATATGCATTCATTATTCACCTAGTATTATTTTCTGATTTGAGATCTTTTATCAATCTTAAAATTCCAGTGGAAACCTATCTAATCATATTCTTATTTGTACTAGTTTACGAAAATTCCAGGAGGGACCTAGCTAATCATTCTGATTAGCATTAGTTTACATAAT